AAACTGGCCACAATGCATAAGTGTTGGTCTATTTATCCTCAGACCCTGAATGCTATATTCTGTTTCTGTAGTTAATGAAAAACCAGGCAGAAAGCAAAATAGAGATGGTGAGGGAATATGGCACTCTGTGCATGTCTCTCTGTGTCAAGGTTTATAACCAAGGTAGGATTCCCTTTCATCTGTGAGTTTTAAATTACTATACTAGTATACTGCCTTCCAATATTGTTGCTTTGCACCCCTGTGATTACAAAACCATCTTTCTACTCTGGAAATGGCAGCTGCAGTCTATTGGCAAAATTATCTCCAATCAGAACTGACAGCAGCAAAGCAAACAAGAGCTGTTTGTCATTTTCCCTTTAGCTCTCTCTGAGTTTGACAAGTGACAAGGCACCTATAATATAGTAACAAATGCTCCAGTTTAGTCATCCAACCTAAACAAATGTAGACAGCTTTTGCGAATGCAGAAAATGCAGTATTATTCCTTTCTCATTAGTCCTTCTATTAATCAGACTATAACAATGGTCTATTGTAGATATTCCTTTCCATTCTTCTCTTTCCCTCCCTCTCCCAACAAAGAAGACTAACTTCTTACAAGCATCTTTTTACTAGCAGACCCTTGGGAAGGGGAATAGGTTTAGCAAAGTCTAAAACTAGCAACTACCACTACCATTGCTACCTTTGGAAAGCAATTAATGTAAAGCTATCATCTATTTGCCTCTTCAGTACTGAATTATACTCAGAAGTGTATTAACACTAAATCATTTTTAAAGCCATAAATCCATGAGCCTCATTTACTTAATTTTCTATCACTAATAGTAGAAGAAAAATATTTTATAGGTCATGAGAGGTGGAGGGGGGGAGAAGAGCTTACTAGTTACTCTGACCAACCATGCAAAACAATGAACAGGGTTATGTATAACCTTTACAAATTATTTGATATTGTATCAATTGTTCATCCACAGCTCTGCACAGAGGAAAGATAGGAACCTATAGAAAGAAGATAACTGGACAAAGTTTCATTTCACTAGAATTAACTGTATTATATGTGCCACTATAGTGTTTATCAGAAAAAAATTGAATGCCAAGGAATATTGCCATTAAAAAATAATTCTTTTTGAAATGACTTTGTTCCACACTTTGAGAAATCCAATTATTATGATACAATCATGAAAATATTGCAGAAGTTTCCTATGCATATTTATAATAGACACCTAGATAGTTGTTACCATTGTTAAAAATCTTATAACTGAGGGATATTTAAATTTTTTTGTAAAGGGTTGTAAATAGGATTTTAAAACTAATTTGTAATGTTAAATAGTTCCATCTAGTTGAAAAAACAAGCAGGCATTTTATAAACAAACTACTCAATATTTATTGTTAGACAAGCAAATTCAAACTAACACAATTTATGTGGAATGAATATTTGTGTCTGTATGAGTCCCTTGCCACTTAATACACATTTTTATTTTTATTACATTTTGGGGTAGAAAACATAAATCATCTGGACAGTCTGGTTAATTCACAATGTGACTCTCAGTTAAAATTGTAACTTTTTCCTTTAGAAAATGTTATATAACACCTCATAACTACATATATTCTATTTTACAATTAACAGATGGCTAATATATACATAGCTTTTTTGCCATATTATCACTAAAGAAACTATATGTGCTCAAAAATTATATGTCATTATGTAATTGGCATTTATACATTTATAATATGATACATATTCACATTAGTGAAGTAAAAAATGGAAGAATAGCAATGTATTAATTTAATAGGAGAAAATATCACAGAGATTCTATTCTATATTGCAGCCATAATAAAATATACTACATTTAAAAAACTTCGAGGGAGAATTTAAAATCAGGAGAAATGGGATTAAGGAGAAAATAATACTCTCACAATCAAACCAGCAGCTCTGAATTTTTAAAAAAATTAAAGGCATATTATGGTCGCTAATGACCTCATTTCTATCTAGATGCACCCAAAATTATTTGAGGAAAAATTCAGACATTCTCTATGCATGCAAAGTATTAATCTGAAGAACACAATTCCTGAGAAAATATCAAAAGTGGATATACTAAAGCAAGTTAAATTCCTCCTGAGTAATATATTAAAAGTCCTTGGCCACCAATGAGTTAATTAATAAGACTAAGAGTCAAAGCACATGGATGTTGGCATAAGGCAGAGAACCCACAAAAGATGCAGAGCTTGGGAAAGAAATAATCCATAAAAGTGAACCAAAAAGCTACATATTCTTATGCAAAACCAGACTTCCTGTTCCCATCCCACTTTCTACCCTTTTGATAAAAAGGGCTGAAAGAATGTCTAGCTCAACAATAGAAAGGTGCAAATACCACTTAAACAGTCACTCATTTCTGTGCCCTTAGCCAAAGTACTAACTGCCCACTGGGGCTATTTCCCATTGCCAGAAACACAAGGTCAATATGAGTCTTCTGAAAGGCTTGTTCTGAGCATTCATCAAGGGTTTCTAAAGCTGTGAAAAGAGGGGCTTTTTTTTTAAGGGGAGGAGAAAAAAACCCCTGTGCTTTCAATACCTTAGGAAGCACATCAATAACACAATTGCAGCAGACAGAATAATGGGGGGAAAACCCTGCCCTTGCTTTCTTCCAGATACAAATTCAATTTCCAGCATTGTCCACATAGACATGAAACAAGAGCAACAAGTGGTGGAGAAGAGGCAAAAAAAAAGGGGGGGAGAAATGTGGTGGGCAATGCCCCCCATCATTTGCTGCCCAAAGATCTCTAGACTAAGTGCATCTATACGATTCATTGTTATTAAATGTTTCATGGCTGGATTCTACAGCATAATAAAAACAAGCAAAATATTACTAACAACTTACTTAAAATGTATTTTGTATAATCAAATGGCTTTCAATAAAGGTGCATATTTTATTTTAATAATTATGTTTTCTGCCATGAATTTCCATCTTTCTTTTCAGAAGACAAAATAACATATTTGAAATAGATTTTAATTTTAAAAAATCGTAATATCATCTAATACAAATGTCTTCCTTCTGAAGTTTCTGAAGTACTTGAGTTCTCTCTTACGGATATAGATCTGTACATCTATACATCTATACATCTATACATCTATACATCTATACATACATACATACATACATCAGTCCTGACATGACGATGAGCTAACATTATGAAGATGTAAGCTCCACCTCAGACTATTTTTGGCAGAGATTATTCATATTGTTATCCCACAATACACTTTAGCCATAATTTGTTATGTATACCAGAATCAGTGTTGCAGGTGAGCAAAATAATCATGATTTATATGATGACTTCACAACGTTCTCCATTCTACCATCACTCAAAAGATATCAGGACATGTCAGGTTCTAGGTTCAGACATGCCATCATTAGAACAAATCAAGATTTATAAAAGAGCCATAATGGTGTAGTAGTTAGAATGAAATATTACAGGCTAACTCTTCCCACTGCCAGGAGTTCAATCCTGACAGGCTCAAGGTTGACTCAGATTTCCCTCCTTCTGAGGTCAGTAAAATGAGGACCCTAATTGTCGGGGACAATATGCTGACTCTGTAAATTGCTTAGAGTGGGCTGTAAAGCATTGTGAAGCCTATATAAATCTAAGTGCTATTGCTATAAAGCCCAATTAGCATGGTTTCAATTTGTGGTTGTTCCAAACAAAAAAAAAGATTACCTTCTGGGAGCAGTTTCACATATCATTGTAAATCATAACTAAATTATAATAACTTTCTATTATGGGCAAACTCTTTACTTCTCTGACATAAACTTGGATTGAACAAGACCTCAGGCCAAGCTAAACAAACGTGCACATATAAGGTCACATGCATGTAATTGCATGAAAGAATGTAAAAGGTAAAGGTTTTCCTCACACATATATGCTAGTCGTTCCCAACTCAAGGGGGCGTGCTCATCTCTGTTTCAAAGCTGAAGAGCCAGCACTATCCAAAGGCGTCTCCGTGGTCATGTGGCCGGCATGACTAAATGCCAAAGGCGCACAGAATGCTATTATCTTCCCACCAAAGGTGGTTCCTTTTTTTTCTACTTGAATTTTTAAATGCTTTCGAATTGCTAGGTTGGCAGAAGCTGGGATAAGTAACAGGAGTTCACTCCACTACGTGAAAGAATGTAGAGACAGAATAAATGCACAGAAAATTATAAACCCAGATGAGCATGCAATCAAGCAGGAAGTCAGAGCCAGTAAGGTGTATGCTGCTGATTCTCCTTCTCCCAAACATTCCAGCCTCTTCAAATATGGTCACATGATAAACAGTGTTCAGTAAATGTGTTCACAACCAAGCCTGACTTGGTTTTTTTGTGGAGCATTCACTTGTAAAATTCTCTAATTCTTGCATTTCTGCCATAAAATATGCAATAAAAAGGCCTAGTCGGAATCATACATTAATATTTTAAGATGGATATCTGAAGTGGTTATCCATCCACTGGTACATTACAGAAGCAGCCTCTACAAAGCTAAAGAATACCTTCCCAGAAGATATAGATATATTTCTTCCCTTGCATGTTTATATATTCATTAGTATGGGGCTTTGTACTATAAAATGAACCTGAATTAATTGACATAGACTCATCTTCTACAGTCTTGAGGGCCTCTGAAGGAGATGATTAATAAATAGGCAAATAACCTATAAAATAAGAAGCATGGAGGGAACTGGTTGGGGGATTCAGAAGAAGAGAAGAAAAAACTTAAGAGGAAAGTTGCCACAGATGGTCCTTGTTTAACAACTGTTTATTTATTTTATTGAGCTATAAAATTTATTGGCCGCCCATCCTACCTCAGGGTAACTGAAACTGTTGCATTTTTGAAACTGATATAAAAATAATTTTATGATCAATTCTCACATTTACAACTTTTGTGGATTTGTGAAACAAAGCTGAAGTAAGATCACAAGGACTGAATTGTGAGTCTCAATAGGCTTGTTAAGCCAAGTAGTGATAAGGTAAAGACTTCCTTACCTGCTTTGCAGGTTTTTCCATCTTCTTGTAGTTGGACTCCAGTAGGACAGGTACAACTATAAAAGGGTTCTTTTGGGGACAACAGGCACAGATGTGAACAACCACCGTTATTTTCCTCACAGGGTGTGTGAACTTGAAAAATAAGAGAAGAAAGGAAATCATGCACATTTTTTACTTTATTTTCTGGTAACACAGAACGTAAACTTAGATCCCTAAAGAAGACAATCACACTTTATGTTTCCTCATAAATTCAGTCAGGCACTAAAAGATAATTGACTACAAGACAGACATTTAATGTTGCTCCTCACTACTTTAGGAAAGTATCAATAAACATAAAACTGTCCTGAAAAAAGTACCTTTTCACACGACAGTATCTCAAACTGCTAAAACGCAGTTGGGGATTCAATAATAGTTTCAGAAGTATTAAAAAATGTTAAGGGACAACTGGATGCTGCATGTTTATTTCTATTTGGACTGTTGTTATAGTTACAGCGCAGGTTGAACCTGAACAATTGTTATTTGTTTCATCAGTTCATACTTTTCTGTATATCTCACCCTGCAACAATAGTAACAACTTCTTAGTATTTTCTACATTCAGCTGTGTCCCAGTCAATTATGTTGGCTATACATAGTCTAAATATTTATATTTATATTTATTATAGCTAGTGGAATTTGGAAGGCATACAAATTCACTTGTCTATCTCACAAGCAAACCTAAAAACTTAGGATCCTTGTGTTCTGTTTTTTTGTTCTTCTCCATCCCAATATGTAATCTGTTTTGATTCTGGCATCAAAAAAAGAGCATGACAATTTAAAGTGGTGTGTATGTGTAATCATTCAAAAGCATGATAGCTCTATATATGATCCACAATCAGTTAATACAGTACAAACACTTGGAGCAATGGCAGCCAAATCCAGTTGAATCAAGAGACAGCATTATCTGAACTATTTCTAACAGATAGTATTTCCCAGTGTGCCAGGCTTTCCTCACTACTGTCCAGAAATATTGTGACCCAGGGGTGGGACGTGCTCTCAGCTGACAGAAATGTTAGGAATTCCGAAAGCACCACATAGCGTCATCTGGAACGCAAGGACAAACTCTATCAGGGCACATACCCAATGACATCTACTGAAGCTTTGCACCTGTTTCTCAGCTAAAGCAGCTTTTAAATGCCTCTCTTTACTCCGTGAATATTTACTACCCATCTATCCTTTTTCTTAGCCACAGCTCTTCAGAGCTGAAGCCAAACCGCCTCCGAGATTTTCAATAGTAGACTTAGGCCTCAATGCTCTCTTAAATGAGATAGTACTCAACTTTAGGATAAAACTACATTTATGTGTTACATTATGTTATGTTTCTAATATTTAGTATGCACAATTTTGTTTGGAAATCCTATGGCTAAAGAATTCAATCAAAGCATACAATCTGCTTTTTAATTTTTTCCACAGATTTTTCCTGTTGATTAAAAGCTTAATCCATGAGAAATAATGAGGTATCTTCCTGTCTGCCACTCCTTCCTCCAAGTTATTTTTCTTACTGCAAAGCATCGTTAACGTTTTTGTAACAGTATTACAAAATACTATTACAAAATACATGCTTTTAACAAGATACTAATGGAAAAATCAGTCCTTAAAATAACTGATTTAAAGTATTTAATATACGTACATGTGCCTGAGAAATTCTGAATTTTAACATTTCTAAATGAAAGCCTGTTTCAATAAGCAGGCAAAGGGGGCATCTCAGCAAAGAATTTGCATTACTATGGCCTGCTTTTTAACCAAATTTGCATTGCGCTATGAATGATACGCACAACCAGTTAATGATGATCTCATTTAAGTCTTGGAAAGTGTTCAACTATTCAGTCTGATACATTGTTCAGAGATCTGTGGCATCCAAGTGAGAATTAGGTATAATATTAATGAGAGTAACTTATGGACTACACAGAATTGGAATCCCAAGCCTCCTTCCTTGGCACTTCTATTCAATTATTATGCTCTAGCTGGTTGAGCTTCTTTAACATTAAGGCAACAGCCACATCACTGACAATCAGAGAAATTCTGTCTTACAAACTTCCACTGAGGCAAGGCAAATCAGCTCAGAGAAGTTACGGCAAGGTGAAAAATCTACAGGATTCCTTTGAAAGGGTTTGTGATTCTGTTCTGCAATCCACATCTTATGTAAATATGATGGTAACAAACTTTATTAAACAGCAATCAGGTTAAGAACCTAAGCCATGGCATTTAGGACTGAACCTCCTGTCACAATCAAATAACAGCCTAGCATACCAGTTGCTTGTTAATAATTATAGTAGGGCAGAGGCCTGCATTGCATAAATAATATATCTGTATTTTCTTCTCTGAAGTCATGGGCGTTAGATTAAAAATCCCACTTATCCCTAATGTGAGAGAAAAAGAAACAGAAAACATACAATACGGCTGTCTTTCAGGGCTCAAAACTTGGATGTCCATTGGTGAATAAAGAGAATTTATTATTTCTCTCTTATTCTCTCCAGCTTTCTTGTTGCAGGCATGAATGGAACGCGTCTGCCAATCCGTCCAGTACAGGGTGTCCCCAGCCAATGTCAGGGCAAATGGATGAGTGAGACTACCTTCCACCACTTTTTGCCTAGTTTGTAGAAGAAAGAATATTTTCCAAAGTGATTATAAAAACTACTTCACAAATTAATACAGAAAGACAAGATGTCAAAATTTAAATAAAATAACATTGACTTCCATAAACAGCAGTAATTCAATGTATGTGGAATGGGTCTTGTTCATACCTGACCAAAACACTTTCTTCTGAATCATTTCAAAAAATACTATGCCTGCAAACTGGAACCACAATTACCATAAAATATGTTGCTCTGAAAATTTTTAAAAAATACTATCTCGTTCTGAGTTTTCAAAGTGAAGGTTCATCACACAGGAGTCTGTTCCAGCAATTTTAATCTAACATTCACAATAGAAAACACGTTATATTGCTACCAAGTCAGTTCACAGTGGCAATATTTGTAGTGTACATAATTTCTTTGAAGTTTAATTTTATGTAGTACTATAAAAACTAAAGGTCATTCGGGCATAAAAATATCATATTCATATATTCCATTACTGCACCAAAATAATTTTAAACATCTATAATAAGATACAAAAAGCTAAGGAATTATGTTGTGCACAAAACACAAATATCCATTGCACAATGTCCAACCACAAGTCATGAGTGAAGAGGAGAGAAAAAATGAGACTGCTGGAATATTTTATCTTAAATGACAACAATGTACATGAGGAACATTGATTAACATTCTGAAACTAAATTTGTTATCACTAGAACAACTTCGTCATAGCAGGAGATATGTATGTTCCAATAGTACTTATTTGTATTTCTTGAATCTGGGCTGTAATTTAAGCTTTCAAAGAAAGCATTTATGGGGAGCAAAATGAGTTCATTTTTTAATCATTCAGAACATAAAGCATTTTGACCGAACATGCTAATTGGATTTTTACACTACAAATACATTTCTTTATAGGAAAAAGGATATTTTCCTTTCTTTAAAATAGCAAACAATGTTGAAATAGCATTGAGCAACATTTAGGATGTTTTGTTGTTTACAGAGCGTATTGTAGAAAAACATGTATCCCTCTGTTTGGATTAAAGTTGCACAAAATTAAAGCAAAATTACAATAACAGCACAAGAATATGAATTTTACACAGACTATACAATGTACAATCCATATTTGTGTTATTATTTTTATATGTTACTGATGCTATTGCTTGATCACAGAAAATGTCTTCTTTTATTTGACAGTGACATTAAGGATCCCAACAAAACAAATCACAGAAGTTTAAGAGAATCTGCTATAATTCTGCAGATTGAATTTTTCCAAACACCCTGGAAAAGAAAAGAACAACCAGGTAGTAGTTTCTCTCTCTCTGCTTGTATATACACAGCTATGCAACATATGCATTTGTGTGTCCCCATTTTCTCTATGTACAGTTGACATACATACTTCATTCATAGGTGCTTTTGAACAATATAGATCAGTGTTTCTCAACCTTGGCGACTTTAAGTCCCGTGGACTTCAACTCCCAGAATACCTGGCTGGGGGATTCTGGGAGTTGAAGTCCACGGGACTTAAAGTCGCCAAGGTTAAGAAACACTGATATAGATAATTCAATGTTACCATGTCCATGAAGGATGAGCGATCATCATGGGGTGAAAAGGGAGGCACGAGGAAACATGAATTAACAGCAAGCATACGTAAAGGAGACATGGAAGCATGTAGAATGAAAAAGGAACAAATAATGAACTGCCAGACACCTATCAAAATATTCAAGGGCAATTGGTGATGCAAGGTTGATAATCTTTGTTGCCCGAAAATACATTAGCAGCGGATAAGTTTAAATAGAAAGCACCTAAGCAATATTAAATGTATTTGCATATGGTTACATGCACTCAGATCTGCATACACACACCACCCCTACCTGAAAGAGCCGTCCAGATTTGCTCTGTGAATGAAGCTCAACTTTGCATCAGCCCAATAAAGCTTTTGTTCACTGAGATCTATTGTGAGTCCATTGGGCCAATAAATGTCAGAATCCACGATTATTTTCCGAAAACTGCTGTCCATTCCAGCACGCTCTATTCTAGGTGTTTCGCCCCAATCTGTCCAATACATGTATCTAGAAATAAATAAAAAAATCCAATTACAATTACAAAAACAGAATAGAAACTTTCCTGAAATGAAGAAATTTTTGTGAATTTCCTTGAAATCAAGTTTATGTGTCAACAGATATCAAACATTTCTTTAAAAGCAAAAAATAACTTTGTTATTTTAAAATTTTTCCCCACCTTAGTTAACTGTCTCTAAAAATGTATTCTTTTGTTTTCTGTACAGTTCAATTAAAACAAGTCTTTTCATTACTTGCTGGAACAAGGACTCTTTATCTCAACTGGTGGAGCCCCTTGGGCTCTATTATGATCTGTCAGCAAAAACTTTACAGCTACACATACCCTGTACAACTTTTTAGATAAAGTAACTGTTTGCAGCAAATTAAAATAAGAAGTGCCATTTAAAAAAAAGAATGATTCTACTATTGATCTGAGTAGAGGTAATTTATCAATTTTTGAATTAATGACTTACACCCAGCTTTTGCAAGAGTAAAGAGATGAATAAAATGAAGCACAACAATGATAATAACAGCATATAACAAAATGAATAATTGGGTGAAATACACTGTGACACATACAGCTGAAATTAAGTAACACATAGATCGTAAAGGACTAAAACCAGTTAACCGAAACCATGCCTTAAAGTCAACGTGGTTCTGAAGCGGAATGCCAACACCACCCTGTCTTTGTAGTCATCTACTTCTTTTCTTTGGCACTGATAAATCAAGAAGTGCTTCAGAAGTTGGCCTTGGTATTTGGAGAAATAGAAATGGAAGGACATGCTCTTTTAAGATAAACTATTTAAGGCCCTGGAGGTTTAAAAGTTAACCAAGTACACTCAGAAGGTTAGAAAATGATTGGCAACCAACCACTCTGGAAAACTGTTGTTATTGTATTCCTAGTGACCATGAGTGTCTGGCTATTAATCATCAAGGAAACGGAGTATTACTTAGATAACTTCTTGTCGTCAAAGAATAGAGAAATAATGAATAACTATAATGACCCTTTAGGACAGGGGTATCAAATTCAAAGCCCGTGGGCTGCATCCATCCCACAGGGTCCTCAGTTCTGGCCCACAGACCTGCCCTGGAAACAGTGAAGAAGCGGCCTGTGGTGACTCTGCAGCAAAAACGGAGCTCAGGTGGGCCATACGCGGCCCTCTCAAACTTTGTGTTCACTGGCAGAGGATTGCAGGAGGACGTTGCATCCAGAAACTGGAGCCTGTTTTCACTGGCAGAGCGCTTGGGCCACCTTAGTCATCCCGACATGAGTGACATCAAGCTGGCCATGGACACCCTGGCTCCACACACGCACCCCAAGGTCAAATACAACCCTGATGCGGCCCTCAATGAAATAGAGTTTGACACCCCTGCTTTAGGATATATGACCAATAGTACTATGTATTATTTATTAGAGCTATGTAAATAATTCACAAAGCAGCTTCAACTGCATGGCTGTTTTTGCCAGAATTCAGTCATCATTCAGAAAGACCTTCTCAGATTAGCTGCACATGCACAGTAAAACTAGAACTGCTGAGGAAATCAATAATTTGCATAGATCTATAATTAATTTTATTCATTTGTTAAGTTTATGACTTTTTTCTTCTTCAGGCAGCTACCTATTTGCACTTTTGGGGATTTTTTAAAAATGCAAAGCTGAACATTAACGGAACTTCAAGAGAATATAAAAATAAGATACAAAACACAAATATGAAAAAGCAGAGAATGAGAGAGAGAAAGGACAGGTATAAAGACTTTAAAAATACATAGCTAATATTTTGGTCAGAAAGATATATGGATATAGATGTACAGATTCTCTCACAAAAAAATATGATCTATTATGAGTGGTTTTTGTTGATAAAAATGATTACAAAACTTGAATAAAACAATATTTAACAAAGAGATTCATCAGGGTTCTGTTTTGTTGTTTTTCTTTTAGCCAATACTATTTCCCAAACTTTCAAAAATATTTGATACAAACAAAAATATTTGAATTTTCTAAGGTTTTGCAACAATAAATCTGTAAAGTGAAAGAAAAATACATTAATTTGTTATGTTGAAAAATACAGAAAATAAATGTACGATATAGTTGATTTCCAAAGATTGTTCAGCAATTTCAAAAATATTTGCCCAGAATGAGGAACTAAACTGACAATAGCAAGGCCTCTGATAGCAACATATTCCCTACCAATCTGTACAGGAAGATTTTGGTTCATATGTAATGTTAATGATAGGTATTAACATCTACATGTTTGGTTACGATCAATTTAATGAAAAGAAGGACTAAGGGTGACATGATAGCAGTGTTCCAATATCTCAGGGGTTGCCACAAAGAAGAGAGAGTCAAGCTATTCTCCAAAACAACTAAGGGCCGAACAAGAAGCAATGGATGGAAACTAATTAAGAAGAGAAGCAACCTAGAACGAAGGAGAAATTTCCTGACAGTTAAAACAATTAATCAGTGGAACAACTTGCCTCCAGAAGTTGTGGTTGCTCCAACACTGGAAGTTTTTAAGAAGAGATTGGCAACCATTTGTCTGAAATGATATAGGTTTCCTGCCCGAGCAGCGGGTTAAACTATAAGACCTCCAAGGTCCCTTCCAACTTTGTTGTTCTAATTCTCCAAAGTAGATTTAAATAGAATTTATGCCATAAAGAATTCCAATGTAACTCACTGTCTTAGCTTCCATTTCCTCTTCCCATATTATTTTATTACTTATTCTTGGACTTTCCCCCCCCCTTCTTTTCAGTGCCAATAATATTAAGTACAGAAGCGTATTACAAAACTAAAGAGAATTCCCTGAATTTAAACAATGCATATACCGTTCTTCAAATACTGCTAAAGGGTTTGATTGCTGAAATTTAAAAAAATTAAGAAGGAATGATGAAACCTGATTCAGCTGAAATTTGTCACCAATTCTTCAAAAACAAAAAAAAATCAGCAGAGATGGATTCCCAGTTAAGTCTTTAACCAGATAATGTCCTGACTTTTCTAATAACCCATTTCATATATTTATTTTATTAATATATGTATTTGTAAACTATATATAAATTTCTCAATATCAGGAAAAAATGCTATTGCTCTAACGGCTTTAGATTTTAATACTCTCTGCCAATTCAGCATAATTTGTGGTTATTATGATATGAATAGAGTTACTTGAAAAGTATCATAATAATCTTTTAAAGATGTATACTTAAATTCCCAACATGATTTTCCTTGTGAAATATGATTCTCTGATGTTGATTACAGCAACTGCTCCTAAATATCTAAATACATACCAATGGGAATTGTAGTCAAGCATATTAGGAGAGCCCAGATTGTACACTTCTGTAGTTGATGTACTTTAGATTAAGCAAATTAATATATCTCCTTGCCATAAGTCAAGAGCTTTGTCAGATAATGCATTAAGTCATTGTGTGGTTTAGTTTGGTTCTGACTTAATTTACTGTGCAAATCCAACCAATATCGTGTTCAAACTGGATTGTGTGGCTAATTCACTGATTGTGGTTGATTAAATTTACAGTACAATATTAAGAATCCAGACTAAGAGGTAACTTTTTGAGTGGAACCCATGGCCATACAAGCTACAAATTTCCTCCGCTCCAATATCTCTAAGCATGGCTCCAATCATTCTGTATTACCCCATATTTAATAAAGTTTTAATTATGTATGCCATGCTCAGCTTTATAATTACAGTACTGAAATACAGTATTAACAATTTCCTTGTGCGAACCACTTCTGAAAAACCTTGCCAAGAAAACTGCAGAGTTTTATCCAGGCAGTTTCTGAGAATCAAACATAACTGAACAAAAAAAATATATATCCAAAACTCCTAACATTACCAGAAGTATATAATTTTCAAATAAAAAGTGCCTCATTTATTAAACATAATCTTATCTACATGCTGTATACAGAACATGCTCTCTCACATATGTACACAAATTAGTCTCACACATAAATATCATAACTAGATGTAGGCATAGCCATTTCTGAGGAAGAGGAGGTTAGAGATGGGATAAGTGAAAGAGGTACCTGTAAAGAAGGGAGGAAGGAAATTAAATAAGGAGGGAGGGAAGGAGGGATTTTTAGGCATTGCAAGAGGATTCCAATCACCTTCCTACATAGCAGCTAATCTTCAAACTAATCTACAAAGGCCTCCACACTTCACAGCAATAATTGCAGCCATTTGCACCTCAGTTCATTGCTTTGTTTTCATCAGATTCTTATATTCTTATCAACAACTGTAGTTTCCACTCCCCTCCTTCTATTATTTGGAGAAAAATTGGGGTGGGGGAGAGAAAGGAAAGAGAAAAGGCCTACTTCAGCACTGTTTTTATTCTCTTTCAGGCCAGAATTCACAAAAACTGCCTAGATACTCAACAATTGCTATAAAGTTGTAGCCAAAACTAGCCTAAGATGCCATCACTTTAAAAAAATGTAGAATAGGATGTTAGATAAACATATTGAAGTATTCATAGTTAAGATGAAACTTTGCCAAGGGGAAAAAAAAAACCTCTAATACAAAATAACCTATACAAACTCTGCATCCGCTATAATTCAAGTTTTCCAGGCAAATTGAATGATTCAAAATGAAAACAGTATTATTTTATAATGGAAATACAATTACAAGGAACACAGAGCAATAATGCCAGCAAATGCTAAAGAAACTATATACCAAACTTGCCAAAGTAACCTGCATATTAAAAATAAGTCAGAAAGCCTCTGGAGCAATTTCAGAAAAGTAAGCTGCTTAAAAAGACTGGCATCTCCTCAAATTCAAATTGTGCAGAAAAAACACTAAGGGGCCTTTTACAACCAAGGTAAGAAGTGAACTGGGAAAAGAAAAAGAGGCGGTGGGATGGATGCCACAAAGACAGACAAGGAATGCAGCTGCTGGAAGAGTTAATTCCACAAGGACAGACCTCAAGCCACTATTATTCCTCTTCCCCTTCCCTCACCAAGAAAAGCAACAAACAAGTTCCACAAGAGAATTGGCAAGTAAATGATGCACAACCAACTACCATTATAAATGGATTTTCTTAAAAGAAACACATTCAAATGTTGCCTGAAAGGAACACAAAGTGATCAACTTTCAAATATGATTCGGGCTTCCCATACTTCATATATCCTCTGGAATTTTTGCTAAATTTTTCCACATTTCTGTACTTAAATACATAAAATGTATGCAAAGCAAAAGACAATAAGGTAAATAAAAAATATATCAATGCAAAGATGAAAAAATTAGAAGCACACTGCATACTTCATTAATACACTTCCATGAAACAGCTTGGTGCAATGGAATTTGTTAGATTAAGGGAGCAGGGAAAGTATGACAAGGTAACATACTTGTTTCATTATATCTCAATCAACAACCCTCCAAGCATAGCCTAAATACTCAATAAAACCAATTGTAAGAATAAAAGCATGTCACTGCTTTTTATTATTATAAATATTTAGATGAACTGCTCAAAATTTAGTAACAGGATATAGGATGTACATAAAAGAACCAGAATATATCACAGAATACCCCATCCTCAAACCACAAATACTAGAATTTTATTTATTTTATTTTATTAATTTATATCCTGCTTTTACTTTTTTTTTTTTTTACAAATAACCCAAGACAGCATGGAACACACCTTCTTCCTCTTATTTTCCTTACAACAATCCTTGGGCTGAGAGAAAGTGGCTGACCCAAGCTCACTCAGCTGGCTTTCATAGCTAAACCAGGACTAGAATTCAAGATCTCCTGCTTTCTAGTCTATTCTGTTTTTGTGAATGCTCTAGCATTTGCAGAACTATTATTAAAACAAAATTTCGTTCTAAAGTTTGTCAACTAAATCAATCTACTTCTATGTAACTAATGTCTTACACAGGTCTTTGCAAAGACTCCAAAATTCTATTTTCCATATAGCAGCTCACATCAGTCTTGGAACTACGCAACATTTAAAAAATAGCATTAAATATGCCAATGAAAATCTGTCAATTGCCTTGGCCCAAGATTGTATTTCCAGTCTCAGATTCTTGGAACAATTAGAGCTATACAAGTCAGCATTGTTACTATATACCAGAGCTAAGTAACTGTGTCCTTTGTGGGTTCAAAGCTTATTTGCATTTAAATTGAGGATTCTGGGATGGACAAGCATATCAGAGAAAATATAAAACCATCACAGTTATCAATATAAATAATTTAATATGCACTTAATATGCATGCATTTTGGAAAAAAACCATTAAGCCTTGCCTGAAGGCTTACAATTCTAAAACAAAATATCATGTGACAACTGAGTTGAAAACATATCAAGTACCAAATACATATTTTACCTAAGACGGGAACCAGAGTGAAAGAATAAAATAATTCAGCAAAGCACTAATTAGCTAGCAATATGAAAGAAGCAACACCAAGTAATGCATCAAAGAGGGAATCAGAGGTAAGAAGACATTAGTGTTTAATAATTTCTTAATTTAAGATTAAGAAAAGGCCAACTGAATATTTAAGGAAAATTAATTAAGAGGTCACGTCAGGAAAACTTAAAAGAGACAATAAATAAACAGAATATAAATATGGTATGAAGATTGGCATAGGATGAATAATGGGCCCAAGCAAAAGAAGAAACTGCTACAAGAATGAAATACTTTGTCACCAAATAGTTAAACTACTGAAAGCAATAGGTAAAATAACTAAAACTTACAAACAATGATGAATAGAGAATAGAAAAACAGACCAATAAATGAACATTACCACAGTCAACATGAATCAGAATGAATTTCTAAATGCCTCTTAATCTCTTTCACAGAGAGAATAAGACTCGGGACTGCAAGTTCCTGACAATAAATTTGTAAAATGTTAGTGGCCATATTAATAAATTGATCTGATCATTACAGCTTTGTTTGGACAAACTGGAGGGCAAGTGTAAATAATATGTTTAGATTGTTTATTTGATGCTTAAAGACATCTCATAAGAAGGTATACAAATCTCCCTCAGGAATACATGATCAATATTATATGTAAATTACATGCATCCAAAAAAGTGGATAAGTTCTCCTCAAGGAACAATTGAGTGACATAATATTGTCTTCCTATTTGTATGATTTTTTTGCAAAGCTACATACTTAACAACAAATCACCCCATATTAACTGTGTGTACAAGCCAGGTTTTTTTTTGGGGGGGGGGGCATTATCAAATTTTCCTAACTAGAATGAATACCCTCTTGCACCCCGCCAACTACACCATTGCACAACCCTGCCCTCAGTCTGTTGCTTCCCAATATTACAAGACAATTTCCATCTCATAAGAGCTTGGGCCTTACAGGCAGGATAACTTTATTAAGATGATTCATTATGACTAGTTATGCTGTTATGACCAACATGCTTTAATATGTATTTCAAGAGTAATTTTCACTATTCACAAATAGTTTTGACCCTATATTTATAATTAATAGTTTAATATAATTGTTTTTACAATGAGAAACAGGAATAATAATAAATAAAATACATATAGGTAGCCCTTGACTTACCACAATTTATTCAGTGACATTCGAAATTACAATGGTGCCAAATGAAGGGACTTATGACACTTCCCCAAAGTTACAGTGAACAAAATTTCAAGTGCCAGGCAACCTCCATGCTGTTACAAAGGACTTTAGTGATGCTGGGGGCAGCCTCCCACCTATCTTCCCCCCATCTCGCCCTACTTGGCCCTGTTTCCCACCCTGCAGGGTCCCACACTTCAGCCATATTTATAAATTAAGGCTTCACTCTACAACCTCTGGAAGGGAATCCCTCGGGCAATTAAATAATTCAGAATTCCTAAAGCAAGATTGTTAAGAAAAGGGGGCATGGATCCACTGTATCTAATGTTTTCTCCCCCAACATTGAGAAGAGATTTACAATATCTCTTCCCCAATGACGAAATGAGAAACTTCTTTTCCTGCTCTCTAATATTAGAATCCATTAAATTGGATGCCAGAACTGCTGTTAGGTGTGGTTAACCAGAATATTTGGATAATTGGGAATTCAAGTAATTGAAAGCATTATTTCTAAGAAGTTGTACTGATTCTGAACTACACAGTGGATCTAACTGAAGCAAGTTATTATTAATAAATATACCATTTTATGAACTGAGTGATATAATTCTGAATTATTTAAGCTCTACATTTTTTGCCTCAGAAAGATGATCTGTGGTCAGTTTTAACCTTGATGAAAAGTACAGTAATTTCGTTTCCATCCTTCCCTTTTCCTGCTAGCAATGTTTTATAAAGTAATGATTTCATAAAATGCTTTTCTAGAAAATCTCCTAAATTCTAGTCTTAGACCAAGAGTCTAAACCAACCTAACAGCACACCTTTATTTTCTTGCATCAAACTTTTCATTGATTGCTCCTCTGTACTCCAGAAGCATATTTTACATGCCAAAACCTCACTCTTTATATCTCAAACTATTAGATCCCTTCTTACCTTAAACACAGTATTTGAAAACTCAGTAAGATTCAGTGGAAAGCCAATGTTACAGATTTGAAAAACTGAATCTATCATGCATTTCAGCAGCCAACCTCCCTATTTTTTTAAATCAGCCACATTAATTATAGATAAAGCATAACATTGTAAAAGTTTTAAAATGTTAAAAGCTGTAAAGTTTAAAGTTTGTAAAGTTTTAAAGAATTCTAAGCTGGAAAAATGAGATTTTTTTTAATGTTTGGTTTGGCGCATTAGTCAGGCTGCTCTTCTATGACTTGCCATTCCTCAGCCCATGTTTTATTTAAATGTAAAATACTTTCAGAGAAAAATACCTTGAGAAAACAAAATTTGTGAGAAGAGATTGTATTTTGTTTGGCAAGATGAAAACAACAGTGATCCTGAAAATGAATGTGAAAGTTTAAAAAGACAGGGTGCTTACCCATGAGCTGGATCCAGGGCAATTGCTCTTGGCTGGTCAAGATCTTGCCAGAAAAGAACCTTCCTAGATGTTCCATTGAGATTAGCAACTTCAATCCTATTTGTTTCTGAGTCAGTCCAGTACAATTTTTTCCCAATCCAGTCACATGCCAGGCCATCTGGAGAAAGCAGCCCTGAAACGATGACACTCTGTACAAGATTCCCACTTTGGTTAAAATAAGTCTGTTTGATAGCTTCTTCGCTCACATCTGTCCAGTAAATAACATTCTGTGAGTAAAGGAAGTCCACTGCAGCAGCATCTTCTAAGCCACTGACTACAACTGTTGCTTCCATCTTCACTCCACCAGCATCCACAAGTCTGACATCTCGACGGTTTGCAAAAAGCAAGAGAGGAGAAGCTTTAAAAAAAGAAGAAAAATAACACTCAATAAAAAGATTGAAAATCTGTATTGTCTCATTTACTTCATTAAAAAGTATCAAATATACATAAACAATACCTAAGCAAACACCATCCTTTTATTACATATTAATATCTATCCTCATGAGAATCCTTCCAATTCTAGGTTCCAAAGCTATTTCATATTTGAAACAACAGTGTTCTCAGTTATTCTCAAGCAGCTTAAAATTTCATAGTAGAATATGGAAAACTGACTAGATCCAGTGTTCATTTATGGCACAAAAAAACCCCTACAATTTGTAAGTAAATTCATTTACTACTAAAATAAGTTTTTTAAAAAACCCTAAAGATAGGATGAATCCTACTATGGGTCACTTACAAACCAACTTTGCTACATTAGGTTCAAATCCATCCTCCAGCTGTTTTGCTACCACTGCAGCAAACACTCTTAAACATTATTTGTTGCCATAAATAACAGTAGGGAGATCTCTTACAATGATTTCCCCCAAGTAATACAAAACTGTAGTTTAATATAGTGGTAGCAAAGATTATTTAAAATGTAGTAGGACTTTTTGGGACCAACTTTCAATCCTAGGACTGCTCTAGGATGTAATGCAACAACTTCAAAGGGTGCAGAAGCTGTTTAGGACTTTGGGCAGTGGTCATTTCCAATCTCTTTCTTGGAGACAGAAACTTTCTGCACACAAGCAATTCCTTCATTGATTGGAATAACATAATGTTTATCCTTTGCAAAACATGTTCAATAAAAGCTGTAAACCTCATGCTAACCATTATATTAATAATAAAAATGGAGAGATATTTCCATTTGTAAAATTGTAATGTCTTATTTCCAAAAGAATAGCATGCCATGCACTGATCCAATTAATACAAAATAAGTTTTATATTTACAGTTAATCTCTTTTAAATATGTCTACAGTTCCCATATTTAAGGTATCAGACCACTAGTGGTGATTTCAGTTTTTAAAATATATAATTAAGGACATAGGAGAAAGAGTAAAAACTGCTCACCAGCATAAGAAATGTAAAGAATATCCATTCTTTATCATTATGAAAATAATAGGAGAGATTAAACTATCTGGCTCTATTTATAGATTTCAAAGATAGAAGACGTCATATTACATATCAATGTAACAGTAAAGGTGGATGTACTCAAAGGGTAAACTCACTCAAAAATAGAAATAGATTAGCCTAAATACCCATCTTCAGAAACAGGACAGGTTTTAATCACCCATTTATCAGATTGCTTTCGGGAAAGTACCTGGGCTTTCTATTATTGGCACAGATTCCCAGGAAGATATTATAAATATATACAATTTCATAAAATGTTAAGGATTCCCTTACATTGAGCTTGAGCAAGAACTTAAGATACCCCATCTAGGTAGGTTCCAGACCCATCTTAATCCAGCATTTTGCTTCCCAGAGTGGCCAAGTACACATTTCGGGGGTTCTTGAAAAACATGTAAAGTATGCATTGATCCTCTGCAAATGGAATGGAAAAACAGTCTAATTCCAATCCAGAAATTACACTGAGTTTTCAAGACAAATAGCCTTTTATAGAATTGTTCTCTATGAATGAATCCAAATCTTTTTTCAAATACAAACAAATTAGTAGCCATAATCGTGTCTTGTAATAATGAACTCTACAAAATTAATTAAGTACCATATGAACTGTTTTCTTTTATCTGATCTATATCTTCCTTCCAATTAAATGCTAGTTTGTCCTATTTCTTAAGACAAAGAGAAAATCTCTGTGCCAACTTTCTTTCTACAACTATATATTCATGTCTCCATAATATTTTCTCCAAGTTAAAAATTCCTCAATGTTCTACCCTTTTCCCATAGGGAAGGTAATAATTTTGGCTGCCTTCTTTGGCAACTTTTCTAGTTCTGTTATGTCCCTTTTAAAATGCAGTGACCAGAATCTTATACGGTGCAGATGTAAATATAATATAGAACATTACAATGTTAATAGACTTGTTTTTATTTCCAACTGATGACATCTTGCATGTATTTATTTGACATATTCTGCTTTTAATTAGGAACATAAGGTAGTACGCATATTTTTTCTTCCTCCTATTTTCTCTCACAACAACCCTGTGAAGCGGGCGGTGCCGAGGGAATGAGTGACTGACTCAAAGTTACACAATGATATTTTGTGGCTCAGCAGAATTTTCTGCTTCTAGTGCAACAATTTAACCACTATATCACACCAACTCTCATTTCTCTTTTCATAGTAGTCTCCTCTCCTATTATCCACTTCATTCATATTACTAGAGAGAAAAAATGGTTGGAAAACCTGAAAACCCCAGAGTTTGACACTTAAATGTGCCAGCTCTGGGGAGACAGTACAATTCCTACAGCTGAAAAACAGGAATAATATCTAAAGCTTTTCAACAACCCTTCAGTCAATCAAACACCACTCAAACATCCCCAACAGAAAAATGCTATTTTGAAGAGAATAAAATATGGCAGGTGTGCAGTCTCCATCCAGAAAAGCCACACACACCCTTTTTAAAGGAAATGTAACTAAGACTTAGAACAGTTAGGAAGATTATTTGATACTCAAATGAAAAAAAAGAAGGCAGGATGTGGTCTGCTGCAGACAAGAATTATGCCTTAGGGTAAATTGCAGATACATGTCTTTATGAACAAACTGCCTATTCAAGCACCATCTCCACTTACACAGATAGCCAGATCTAACAACTGCACTGAAGATTGCATTTTTTAAACATGAAACTGTTGTAACATTATCAGGATGCCTGTTATCATTTTTTTAATTCAATTATCTGAATTTTGTTCAATTATGTCCCTAAGTACTCAGAGTTATAAATGAAATGGGATATCAACACTTGACTCCAAAGGGATTAGGTGGTTAACAATACTGGTTTTGATAATGGAATAAAGACAGGCTTGTTTTTAAAACTGGATAAGCCAAATATATCTCAATTGTGTCAGATACAATTGAGTGAGTTTTTTCCCCTTAACAATGCCTTTAGACATTTAAAAAATGCTCAAACTCAAATCAGCAAGACTAATCTCTGCCTGTTCAACTGGTGATGGTAGAATGATACATTCCAGTCTGGAACCACTGATATAAACTGGAGTAACCAACTTTCATTGTTCTAAAGGCCTATGAATAGCATGACAGGGATCACACACACACAGATCAAGACTGCGTATTTCTGCTTAGTTATCTCAGTAAAACATACCATATTTTTCGGAGTATAAGACGCACCTTTTTCCCTCAAAAAAGAGGCTGAACATCTGGGTGTGTCTTATACACTGAATACAGCATATTTTTTTGCCTCCTGCCCCCTTCACCAAAATCGCAATGCATAACCTTTAGGAGGCTTTCAGAAAGCTCCTGGGGGCTGGGGAGGGCAGAAATGAGCAAAAATGGGCCGTTTTTCCTTACTTTTGCATCCCCAGCTCCCAGGAGCACTCTATAAGCCCCCTAAAGGCTATGCATGCACTTTTTTTGACAAAAAAACAGGCCCATTTTTGCAAAAAGCAGGCCATTTTGGGAGGTCTGCTGAGTGCAAAAACTTTTTTTTTATTTTCCTCTTCACAATCGTGGTGCGTTGTATGCTCCAGTGCATCTTATACTCCGAAAAATACAGTAGATCAAATTCAGTTAATATTTGGCTAATGTGTAGACTGGGATACCCAGTCACACTTTCTATGAAAGTGTGCACAGAAGAGAGGCAATCTGAATCAGTCAAAAGACCAGGAAGGAAAACCTTTTTTAAAGATTACAATAGTTGGGATTGCTGCTCAAAACAACCCAGCTTTGTGTTTTGCACCCACCCCTATTCATTGGCAGATACTACTGTAGAACACCTGAAATCCATTGATCACTAACTTCAAAAGATAGATTAAACGTTGATTTTCATGCAGTGAGCCTTCATATTTAACCTGAGTTTAAACTTGTCAAGTACTGCCTTGTGAAGAATGGAAAATTATTCCTTTTATCTTGGAGAAGGGTGTACAAGTATAGGGGGAATTCACCATGCAAAAGTACACAGTGGCTTATTGGATATTTTTGTCCCTCTGAAGTAAACAAAAACTGTAAGTGGGAAATTAATCCAGGAAACAGTTTAGGAAGCCTGAATTCTTATTCTGGGTGTGTGTGTGTGTGTGTGTGTGTGTGTGTTGTGTAACCTACTTATCATTATAGCAAGTTATATTATTATTATTTAAGCAATGATCAACAAAACATAGAAAATAAAAATGAAATGAATATTCCATGGTTATCACCAACCCCCTTGCCCCCCCCCAAATAGTTACCATAGAATAATTTTTAAAAATGACTGAAAAGCAAAAACAAAGTTTTTTTAAAAAGAAAAAAAATGTTAAAATGTGTGGAAGTATATAGCTGAAATGTAGACTGCACTGACACATAACATAAAGCTGCCTCAAAGGTACTTTTCAAAAGGCAGCTGGATTCCTCGTTTTTCCCCCCCTTGAAAATATTTTGTTTCTCATTTAAGAAGCTTCTACAGGACAACCATGACCTGAATGATTGAGAACCTCCACAGACATAAAATACAAATCTATTTTGAACTCTGTTTTGGCAGCTGTAGTGGCCTAACCTGCAAGTAACACTAGGACAAAAAGGGCGTTGGTACTTACCTGATACGCCTCTTCTCATAGTGGGGGGAGGAGTATCCAGGATGGGTTTGACCTTATCCTCTCGTGATTGGTTTGAGTCAGATAAGCTCTTTGGGCTCCGCCCCCTGGAAGTGAGCCTGCCCAGTTTTATGACGAAAAGCTCTCTCCGACTCGTTGCATCATTCCCCCCAGCCTCTTGATTCAGTTTTTTTTTTTTTTTTGCTTTTTGCTTTTATTGTCTTCAACATCAATA